ATTCTTTGTAGTGAAATCTTTACTTAATGATTAATTGAGACTAAGTCACCACTAATGAATAATCATCTTATCAACAAACTATCTGTGATGTATCAAATAGGTATATCCCAATGAGAATAATGTATAGTAACTGTTGAGATTTGTTTCTGGACTAATATACAATCTCCACAACCACTATACTGATAAATACCATGTGCTCACTAGTGACTAGCTTAGTGGTCTAGAGGTTAGGCGTTCGCGCGCGAGACTGATAGGTTGTGAGTTCAAATCTCGTGGGGCGGCATCCTGGATGCACACTGCTGAGAAGTCCTACAATAAGACAAAATGCCCGTCTAATGCTTCCAGACTTCCCATGGTGTTCTAGCTTCAATTGATTCATAATCTCAACTATTAGAATTACTATTATATCCACAAAACCCCTTCTGATATCAAATTAATTAAGTCAAAATAGTAATACCAATGGAAGTAAACAAGTAAAACATAGAAAGAATATACAATTCAAAAGCAACTTATGAAGAATTAAAGAAGCTGTATGAAAAGTAGGAAATATGATATTGATAAATAAAATTTAGTAGAAAAAGATTAAGAATAGATACATTTCAACAACATTCTAAATGTATAACTTGATATTTTCAACTCTATAGATTATGATTGTTAGATAGATTTAATTGGAGGCAGAAGGTCTGTACCAGTTAATACACACCATTGAGTTGAGTAATCTATAAACTCTATAAAATAACAAAGTAGATCTATCACTAAATTCACTTGGTGTTGTTTTATTTGAATCTTCCCATTGTTACTGAGTTCAAGTCCTAGAATGAACATCAACTCTGAGATTCAGGTACACCCAGCTGACGAGTCCCAAATAGGACGAAAAGCACTTTGTCCTGGATTCCACTGCTAGCCACTATCCATCTTTGCATACAGATCTATCACTGTTTCACATTATTTTTCTTAATCACACTTAGCCAACAGTCAGGATTATTGATCAAATAAATAAGTCAATGAATATCTACAGCCCTAATTAGCCCATTTTCTTTCAAAATACAGAAATATTATTTCATTCATGGTATAACTATTGGTTAAAATATACATTGGATTAGAGACAATCACTGACAGCTATATCTCATTGTTTTTAATTGTATCAACAAATGAACAATTCATCAAACATACAATTGCACAATCCTTTTGTTCTCAGTATGGGGTTGTGAGGATTATTATGTTTTTGATTGAGATCATGAACCGATTCATGTCAGACCACCATTGAAAACTTGAAGGTATTAAACGGCCGTTTCGTCCTACTGCGAGACTCCTCAGAAGTGCGTATCCACGATCCCGCCGAAGGGATTCTAAGCTAGGGCCTTCGGCCTCACGAATACCTCTAGACCGCTGAGCTGGCCGGCATCCGATGGTGTTAATGTCGTTTTTTTCGCCTAAAACTAAGTGTTAAGCGCGATTGCAATTTACAATTCCATTTACAAACATAAATTTCTTTCAATTCCAATGGATTACACCTCCACCTTCTTGTCATTTACAGATAGTGAACTATATAAAGGAGTGAATTATGTAAGATCGTTCTATTTTCACTACAAGATTAAATACTTAGTTACAAATCTGAATAAAATAATACCAGAATTTTGATGACTTCATAGAGAATTAAACTAAGCATAAAAATGAATAGATAAACGATTCGTATAGCTTTAAATGTCATTTTCTATTTGACGCTACTTTGGACGAAAAATATTGGCCACAGTGATATAATGTTACTGACACACACAATTGGGTAGATACTGAAAGACTACGCTTTCCTGCTATGATGCTAATCGATATGTGTTTGGTCTATCAACAAGAATTTTATTTATAAATTTTTGTATCCTCCGTCTACTATTCGTCTATAGTATAGCGTTGTCATGATCACGACTAATCATACGCTCCGACCTGAATAATTAACGTTAAGCTGACGCAAGCTATACTCCTGTTGGTTCGCTACCTGCATTGAATACGACGAAAAGTCAACAGTCAGCTTCTAGCACATTTATTTTAAGCACACGTGGGCTTGGAAACAAACACACTGAACCACAAGCACACCAAAAATATAGAAAATTACAACAGGAAACAAACAAGCCCAAACTGGCTGTGAATAGGGTAAGCTCTGAATAATTGGTTGACAATAAGATAGGAACAATTAGCCGTATAAAATCATCAATATAGATTGACTGTTTTGAATCTTGCCGTTATTGTTTAGGACTGCAATTGATCAGTCCTAACAATTATACAATAAGAATATATATACATATATAACAATAATATTAGTCCAGAGTAGATCCCAGTGTTACTCATTTTTTCAATCATCGTTCTGACACGACATGGTCGAAAGACCAAGGCATTAAGTAAAGAGAGACACAGATAAGGGATATTCTAACTTTAAATGAAACATACTCCCAAGTATCAATGGGCATCAAGAGCAATGACATGAAATTAAATTGGTGATAGATCACAAAAAACAAGTGAAATAAGATTGTGAAGTTAACCAACCAATGTGAATTATAGGAAAAGTTTACGAATTTATGCTTATTACTAAACAATTATATAGTAGTCTGTGTTTTTTTAGTTGATTAAACAAAAAAGGAGTGTTTTTATTGTATGACCTGACAAATAAGAAAGCCCAGATATTCAAGCAGGACACCTTGGTTATTGCTGGTCCAAAGACCGGGTAAAACAGGGAGGGTGGGTATGGGGTCAGCAAACCCAGAAAACCATAGATACAGGAGAGATGCTGCTCTGCTTTGATCACGAAAGAAAAAATGCTCCACACACTCAAGGAGTTATTCTAATGCTGTCCAAACAAACACGGAAAGCACTTATACGATGAGAATCTCATTAACCCACGATCATCAAAGCATCTTTCAAAACATTGAACGATGGAATCACAATCAGTGTTATTCAAAGATATGTACATAAAATTGATAGCAACGACAATGATAAAAATCAGTTTTATGACAGACTGCAATCGATCACAGAGAACTGTTCAGGAAACGACCTGACCATCCTGATGGGAGACATAAACGCCAAAGTAAAAATGGACAACACCTGACATGAAGATATCATGAGACGACATGGAATGACCGCGAGAAACAAATGAGAATGGTGACACATTTGCAAATCTATATCCGTTCAACAAAGTGGTTATAGGAGGCACAACATTCACACACAAATGCGTACACAAAGATACGTGAGTCTGACCGTATAACACTACACATAACCAGATCGAACACTTTTGCATCACTAAAGATGACACAACATCAATGGAACAAGTGACAACCAGGAGAAGAGCTCGAATAGCTTCAGATCACCACCTCGTAGTTGCTAACATCAAAATGAAGCTAAAGAAACACTGGACAACTCCACAAACAGCATTACAAAGGTTAAATACAGTATTCCTTTAATATACTCACAAACTCAACCAATCCGACATAGCTCTCAACAACACGTTACAAACCCTACAAAATCTACTCAAAAAGAACAAACTACAACGGACGACAATTGGAAAGCAATTGAAGAAGCGCCAACTTCAACATGACAGGAGGTGCTGGACCTCAACAAGCATCATCATCATCATCATCATCATCATTAAGAATGGATCTCTATCGAAACACTGCACAACATTCAACAAAGGAACAACAAAAAGACAGCAATCAACAACACTAGAACAGAAACAGAGAAAGACAAGGCATAAACTGAATACACTGAAGCAAACGAACAAGTGAAGAGGAGCATTAGAGCTGGCAAGCGGAAAAACGACAAACACAGACAGCCGAAAAAGCTGCAACAGAAGGAAATATCAAACAACTATATGATACAACGAAGGAAATGACAAGGAATTATAGTAAACCAGAGAGACGGATTAAGGACAAATAAGATGAGCTAATAACTGAGATTCAAGAACAGATGGGTAGAAAACTTTGAAGAACTCTTGATAGACAACCTTCATTAACTCCACCGGACATCGAAGCAACACACACAGATCTCCTTATGGATATCACTCCATTGACGATCGACCTCCACATCTCAGGGAAAGCAAGGAAAACAATGGGGAGCTTGGATGAAGCCAGACGATTTGGACTCTGTAGATGTAAATGTGATTATTGGCAAAGCAAGAGCCTCATCCCTACAGTTGAAGAATATATGGAATTCAAAACATCTATCGGCAAGCCAACATCAAAGCCACAATCTTCAATATGAACGTCAACACAGTTCTACTGTACAGAGCTGAATTTTCTAGAACTACTACAACCATCATCAAAAAGGTTCAATCGTTTACAAACACTTGTCTACACAAGATATTCAATATCCGTAGCCCGAATAACATCAACAATAGCCTACGATGAGAAAGAAAAACCAACATCTAACTGAAGGAAAAATTAAGACATTAGAATCAGATAGGACATAACATTGAGGAAATCATCAAACTGCATCACGAAGCAAGCGCTAACTTGGAATCCTGACAAGTAACGAAAAAGAGGAAGCTCAAAGAGCACACCACGTTGGAAATCGAAAGCAGACATCAAAAGAATGAATAGTAACTGGTGAAAACTGGAAAGAATTGTCGACGACAGAGTAAGATAGAGAATGCTGTTGGACAGCCTACGTTCTTCCATGAAGGGTAACAGGAGTAATTAAGTAATAAAATACAATATAGTTTATAAGCTGCATTCAAAATCGAGCGATATTTCAGCTATATAAATACAATGTAGCATTACCAGGGTTCTTAAATCAAACCAAGTAGATCTAAATTAAGATCTTTGATTAATAGTTTATAAAGTAACTGTGACTGAATCACCAAGTTATTGCTACACATTACTTGCTTACTTACGCCTGTTACTCCTCGTGAAGGAGCATTGCTACACATGTACAACATTAAGCAAACATACGATGAATTATCAATAATATAATAGATATTCATAGATATTTAGAGGGAGAAAGAGATAAAACAAACTTACAGTATATAAAGTACGTAAATCAATTGGATACTTTATTAATTCTTTATAGTTTTTAACAATTGTTGAATCTACTGGTTCACGAAAATATCGCGCCTAAATTTAAATGAAAATATCATGAAAAAAATCAATAATTAATCACTTGGTAACAGAAATATATATTTTCATTTAATACAATAATTATAACGTATATATCTTGATGAAGTTTTATTCTTTGGATTGGATAGTATAATTGTGGAGCTTTCATTGTTCTGTTGAACGACATCATTAGTACAAACTTCATCAAAAATTGAAATTGTCAATGAAACGACTAGAAACTAATCATTTCATTTACATTGGCAAGTACTTATAAATGAGAATGCCCCCAAATGCCTTGGTACGGCCGAGAGTGGGGAGAGTCAGCTCTCCCTCTCCAAATGCTCTCACATGGCCACGCGTATATAGCCTCAGCCAGAGAAGTCCTACTCAATGCATTCTCCTACCAGGGGTGTTGTTTACGAAATTGAGAGGACGAAAAGCGAATGTCCAGCGCTTTAACCGGGTTCGTGAACATGGTGAGTCCATTTAGGGGAGTTGGAAAACCCTCATTCTAAACCAATGGTGCACATGAGCTCCAGGATCCTGAAGGAACAATTGGCGTATGAACCAATCGTTGGTCACCGGCTACCATGGGACTGCATCTCCTTATGATGCTCTACTGCCTTGTAGATCAGATCTTCAGGTCGAAGGCTCAGGGAGTGTCCCCCTAGGAAAACCACCTGCTTCAGTTCGGGCACCCGAGCAGTATCACAGCCCTCACACATATCAAATGACATTTGTGTGGCGCATAACTCTTTGGTGCCTTCTTGTACCAATATCTATATGTTAAAATAAATAAATAAATGAGAATGGATCCATAAATCGATGATCAACAAATTCTCGGGTATTTATTTACTTGATATCATAATTCATGACAATTATTCAAATTTGTTAAAAAGTAACTATATGATTCTTGATTTACTTTATCAATTAAGTCTAGTAGTTCAACAAATAGTCTGAGAACTCTGTAGCTGAACTCTAGTAGCTGACTGACTAACTGACTGAGTTCACAATATCTAGACAATGAACATCAACAATTGAACTGTGAATGTACCAATGAGAACAATCAAACATAACTAGATGACTCCATACACAATTGAAGGATTAAAAACTATCGAGTATTTTATCAATAATTCTAACGTTAAAAAGATAATGTTTGTGAAATACTGAGCTTTAATGAACACATTTACCGCAGTAAAATTGATTTCAGCGTACAAAAGATGATCCTCAATAAAATTTATTCATTTATTTTAACACATAGATATTGGTACAAGAAGGCACCAAAGAGTTATGCGCCACACAAATCTCATTTTATTTGTGTGAGGGTTGTGATACTGCCTGGGTTCCTAAACCAATGCAGGTGGTTTTCTTAGAGGGTCACATCCAGAGCCTTCGACCTGAAGGTCTGATCCACAAGGCAGTAGAGCATCGTAAGGAGATGAATACCCATGGTAGCCAGTGACCAATGATTGGTTCATACGCCATTTATTCCTTCAGGATACTGGAGTTCATGTGCATCATTGGTCTGGAATCATGGTTTTCCAACTCCCTAGGTGGACTCTTCGTGGCTACTAAACCGGTTAAAGCGCCGTACATTCGCTTTTCGTCCTCTCAATTTCGTAAACAATACCCCCGCCGCGAGAAGGCAGTAAGCAGGACTTCCCTGGCTCAATATAATAAACGAAGTAAGACAAATATTCAACATATGTCATCAATTGGATACAACAGTTTGTATGTTTATCCAAAAGAATATAGAATGAAAGGATAGAAGGATAAGTATCTACGTGTTTCATTGAATATATCCTAGTAACTTTGACTTCTGAAAGTAAAACAGTCTCTATAGTTCCAAAGCACGCTGCCATCTGTTAGATATCTAGTACAAATTGGATTCAATAAATAAATACAGATGAAACGGTTATTATTGTCATATAGTATGGGTGGATCTCTTCATTGGTGTATCTAATAAATAAGTGACTGTATTAAGTGAGCATGTAGAAGTTGAGATGATAACAATTAGCAATGTTCAATGATTGTTAATAAACACTGAGAAATAAAACTTAATATTCTATAAGAAAATCAACTAGAAAACTCTGCCTGAAGCTGTTCAGGGATAATCACCGGTTTCAAGCCCAGGTAAATGGGGTGGGTTAAAATTAGGATTAATAGTCCTATCCCGTAGAAAAGCCCTTGTTGAATGCGCTTACCAGACAAGATCATATTATTCATTTAAACTCTTCTTTGAAATCTAAATGGTTTATATTTAGAGGGGTTATATGACGCGTTTTAAAATTCAGGATTCCTCGGAAGTAATGGGGCCGATCGTCGTTCTGGCAAACAGAAGAAAAACTGACATCGGTACGTGGAATGTCCACAAAATGTAGAAGACCGAGAAGTTCGTTCAAAAAGCTTCAGAAACGAAAAGATATAACCCAGTGGCTCTTGGAATAAGTAGAAACAACCAGATAAAAGCTAGACAGAAAAGATTAGATCTGGAAGAGGGTCTTCTGTACTCCGATAATAAAGAATAAAATGCTTCGCACACACAGGAGGTTGCATTGATGCAGTTCAAAGAAGCACATAAAGCACTAATAGGATGAGAATCTCATGGATCAAAAATCACCAAAACATCCTTAAAAAGAGAGGATTATAATGAATGTTATCCAGTGCTACGCATCCATCTACAATGGCGATGAAGACGATGATGGTCAGTTTTATGAGAGGCTGCAGACTATCGGGGGGAATGCTTCAGAAAAGACCTGGTTATCTTGGCGGGGAGCCTGGATGTCGAGATCGGTATGGACAGCACATGGTACGAACGCATCATGTGGCGATATGGACTGGGAAAATAGAACAAGAATCGTGAAAGACTGGAAAATCTATGAACTTTCAACACGGTCAAAGTTGTCACCATTTTCCCTTACAAGCGCATAAATAAAGCCTCATAGTTTTCACCGAGCTACACTAAAGAGAACCAGATCGATCACATTTGCATGAAAAAAAATGAGGAAATTCCATGAAGGATGTGAGGATAAAGAGAAAAGCTGATATAGCTTCAGATCACCACCTGATGCTGACCGGGATTAAATTGAAGCTAAAGAAGCACTGGATAACTGGGAAAACAGCATTACAAAGGTCTAATACAGTTTTGTTTCGAGATCATAAAAAACGCGGCGAATTCAAAATAGCTCTCAGTAACAGATTCCAAGCCTTACAAGATCTACTCAAAGAGGAGGAAACCACTATGATGACCAACCCAAAAAGGGCATGAAGAAGCACTAGCTTCAACATTCCAGGAGGTATTGGAACACATGGAGAACCAGAATAAAGAGTGGATCTTAATTGATACCCTGAGCAAGAGCTAAAACATGGAGAACAAAAGAACAACTGTCAAAAACAGCTGAAGAAAATCAGAGGAAATAAGGGCATGGGTCTAATACACAGACGCAAACAACGGAGTGAGGAGGAGCATTAGACCCCACCAGTAGAAATACGTCGAAGACATAACAACGACAGTGTAAAATACCGTAAGAAAAGTCAGTATGAAACAACTATACGATACAACAAGGAAACTACCAGGGGAATGCGGTAAACCAGAGCGATAAGTCAAGAACGAAGAAGGCAAATCAATCACTGAGTCTCCAGAACAGCAGAACACGTAGGTAGAACACTTTGAAGAGTCCTTGAACAGATCAGCCTCACTGAACCCACCGGAAATCGAAGCAGTACCTATGGATCTTCCTGTAGATGTTACCCCATCAACGATCATATCAAATTAAGAAAACAATAAGTCAAGAAGGCATACCATCTGAAGCATTGAAGTCACATATAGATGTAACTGCAAATATGTTCCATGTTCTCTTCAGAAGAATGAGGTGGGGTAGGACAAGTACTAATAAGATGAGGAATACTTCATCAAGGTACCAAGGAAAGAATCACAGTAATTGTGAGAACTACAAAGGGATCACGCTACCGTCAGTACCAAGCAACGTTTTTACCGGTGTTGTTCAACCGAATGAAAGATTCGAAATCAACAGGCTGGATTTCGTAAGGATCGATAGTATATAGACCATATCGGGATACTATGAGTCATTGTTGAGGACCCAATTGAATGGGACCCATCATCATACATCAACATACTTGACTACGAGAAAGCATTTGACAGGAAACATAGAAACAACGCGTAGAATCTTCTTCGATATTATAGATAACCTGAGATTATCACCATTATATGGAACTCTTATGGGGGACTTGGCTCCAAAGTCGTGGATGAAGGATAACTCATCGATGCATTACGAATGAGGACTAATGCTAATGAGACTGCCTATACAAACCTCTCTTCATTCTTTTGGTGATTGATTGGATCATGTAGACCTCCATATACTAAGGGAAGCACAGAATTCAGAAGACAGCTTGGATGTCATTAGACGATTTGCACTTCGCAGAAAACTTCACTCTCCTATCGCATACACACCAACAAATGCAGATGAAGACAGTTGAGTGTAGTAGCATTAGACCTCGAAATACGCAATAGAAAAGTAAGATCCTCAAATACAACAATGCGTACACCAACCAAATCACACTTAATGGTGAAGCTTTGAACGAAGTGGAAGCTTTTACGTTCCTGGACAAAACTGTCTATAAACAAGGAAGATATGAAGGCACGGATCGATAAAAAAAGGAGAGCATTCATACGATTGAAGAGTATATGGAACTGCAAAGAACTGTCATCAGAGTCAGGATTTTCCCAATAAACTTTCAAACAGTTCTATTGCACAGAGGTGAAACTCGGAGAACTACAACTACAATCTCCGGAACAGTAGAGATGTTTATAAACTATTATCTACCCAAAGTACTTCAAACCCAGTGACAAGAGACCATCAGCAGTATCCCACCCCGGGAGAGAACAAACCAGTTGCCAGTTGAGATTAGGAAATGGTGGTGATGTACAGAATGCAATGTGGGGAAACCACTAAACTATCCTACAAGCCAACCCTAACCTGGGACTCTAAATGCTAAAGGAGAAGAGTTAGGCCAAATGAATGAATAGCGCTTGGTAATAACTGGAAAGGAGAGCCGAGGACAAAGATGCGTGGAGATCTCTGGTAGGCGACAAGTGTCTCAAGACGGGGAGCATGTTTAAGTAGTAAGTAGTACTAATATACAACGTCTAAAACGAGTATTACACTTCAGGAACTCCGTAGCTACAGATATGGCTCAAGCTAATAGCCAATGAAATCATGACTAGAAAAATGTTCTGATCTGTCCATTTCTACCATCATTCCAACTTTTTTGAATGTAGTTATGAAATATTTATCAACGTATTGAAAATTTCCAAATTTTATTTCTTATAGTTTGGGTATATTATTTGACAAGAACGGTGGCTTAGTTGAGCACAACTAGGACACAGATTCGAACAATGTTTTACACACTTTGGTCCATGAAGCGGAGTAATATAGAATCCGATAAATGCCAATCAGTTAAACATAAGCAACGTTTAAACTAGTACATATGCGGATTGGTTAAAGTTGCCACTACAATGAGATGAAATCACCAAGACGAATCTTAAAGAAGTAGAGATGAACACAGTATCAGTAATAGAAAAGATTAGGTACAGATAATACAATTCAAGAAGACTTCATAGAATAAAAATTATAGGATAATTTTAAAACTTAAGATCTAAGGGAAGGTAAAGAGTGAAAGTATTAGTGCCATCGCAATTGATTTTGAGCCATGCCACACAACATATCCCTACTATCGCTTACAACAACCACGCAGACACATGACTATCGATCTCGCCCGCGAACGTTTAACTTCAAGTGCAGTGAGCCGGGAAGCAATGGTGATCAATGTACGATACTGTGTGGCAATCTTCAATTACCTTCGGCAGATAGCTTCACCATAAACACGGTTTAACTTCTCTGGTCGAGGCCTATCTCTGAAACTCTCCTCTCGAAGATAGTCATCAGTGAGTCCATATGTTTAAACATGTACGTTTGTTCAAAGTAAAGTGCAGTCAATGAGGATCAAATGGACCCACACTACGATTTCCTAAACTATTAACATTATCAAATGATATGATCTTAAATAACCAAGGAGTATATTCCTCTCTTTTTTCACATAACTGAATAGAATGTAAAGTTCGAACCACTTGCAACTTATGATCAAGGATATTAGATGAAAAAGAGAGAACTCGGTCACAATGGCACCGTTCCATTGAGTTTGATGTCATTCCATACTTTTCATTCTTCAATCTCATTTGTTCCTTTGAGTCTGTACCTGTAATATTTAGATTTCCATTGCAGTTGAAGATATTTTCTGTTTTGTGTTTTTGAACTTGTTAGATTCCTCTCTTACTATGCGGATGTGATGTGTGACAACTTAAAATAATACATATTACCGCCAAATCCTATATTGATGATGAATGACTAATTGATGGAATAATATGCACGAACGATGTATAGGTGATATATATATATTGATGAAAATCGATAAATTGTTGATCAAATAAAAACAAGTAGAGCTTAGAAGGAGATAAAAGCGATAGTATTTACAAGAACATATGATAATACAAAGTTGGACAAATGAAAATGAGAAAATTAGATAATGATCAAGATGGAACATTGTCCTTGTAGTTAGGCAGGTTGTTACTACTTGCCGATATCTTTAAGTATATGAGAGTGGAAGCGAGTCGGTGAACTCACCAACTGATAATTGGTTTTAGAAAAAGTTTCGTGTGACAGGATAGGAAAGTCAATTTATTGAGTACATTCACTTGAACCCCATCCTTAGTAGGGTGGAAAGAAAGCAGCTTTTGAAATAATGATCATCCAAGTTAATAACTTTGTTCCATACATCTTAGCATGACAGTAGTAAATGTTAAAGAGTTATTCTAAATAAGTTCCTCAACTTTTAACAAACTTTAATATTGGTCAAATATACGATATAAATTCCCGTACTAATCATATAGTTATCATATATATGCATTACTTATATCATTTTTGAATGCCAAACATGTTTTGATAAACAGAGGGTGTAATATTCATATGATGACAACAGATACGAACCAATTGAACTTGGCAACATGGTGAAAATTTATGGATTAAACTATATTAAATCTCACGTACATTGTCCAATTGCCCGAATAGTGAAAAATATAAGACTAGATTTGAATACATGACATTTAGGTAGAACGACGATCCACCTAGGGGAGTTGGAAAACCCTCATTCCAAACCAATCGTGCACATGGGCTCCAGGATCCTAAAGGAACAAATGGTGTATGAACCAATTGTTAGCCACCGGTTACCATGGAACTGCATCTCTTTACGTTGCTCTACTATCTTGTGGATTAGACATGAAGGTTAAAGGCTCCGGGTGTGGCCCCCTGAGAAAACCACCTGCTTCGATCTAGGCACCCTGATAGTATCACAGCCCACACACAAATCAAGTAACTAGTGTGGTGCATATGTATTTGGTACCACTTTGTACCAATATTTATGGGTGTAAATAAATAAACAAAATAAATAAAGTATCTAGTTTATAAAAAGATATGCAACTGAACGGTTTATGCAATGAGACGAGTTCTAGTCATGAATTAAGTAGTCAAGTTACAAAAAATAATGATAAAATAAGTGCGTTCACACATAGAAGAGTTAAAAAAAGGATAGAAATCCTACCCAAGATTGTCTAGATAATCGATCCAAAAGAAAGAATAACATTCGTTTTAATTGATCTTCGGTAATATTACACCATGATTCTAATTGATACAATGAACATTCAGCTAACATAACATCTTGACATTCAGGACAAAGCCATACATCTGGAAAATCTGTTGCACATAAACAAGTTGCATGAAACACTCTTGGACAATAACTACATATAACAACCTAAGTAAATCAGAGGAATTTGAGAGAGAGAGAAAAAATGAGATAATGGATAAATCTCTATGATATGGAATAATCACTAAGTAACGTTTAACAATAACAATAAGGAACGTAAAATATGATCCTGTTGGAATTTCACACTCTCTAAAACTTCAAACAAAGTGGGTCATAATCAACAAACAGAAAATTCAAAGATGAAATTACTGAAATAGTTAACTATAGAATAAATGCTGAAATGAAGATTGTTTATCGTAAAGTAAAATTGAACATTTTATATGAAACGAGATACTTCCTCAAACAAAAATCGACAAGCCGACTTTTGTCAACTTACATGTACGTGCTGAAACATGTACATTGAAAGTATTGAGAGAAGAGTCAGTGTTTGCGTCACCGAGTACGTTCCAAAGAATTGGAGACTGAAAGTTGTATTGGCTGTAAACAGTGTAATTGTTCAGGATTCAACTGATACCGGATATATCATTGATATTCTCCCAATTCTTCAAAATTATCAAGACATAAAAACACAGTCCCCTCGGACTTCATTTAATCACTGTTTCGCCTCACTCTATGTCTCTTTTTATTGAATCACATCACAAATAACCTCATACTTGTTTATTCTCAGATATACAGATAGGTAAACAGCGTAAGATTTATCCACCAAGTGCTCTGGTACAGCCGAGAGTGGGGAGAGTCCGGTCTCCCTCACGAAATGCTCTCACATAGCTACCCATGTATAGCCTCTGAGAGGAAAGTCCTACACACTGCCTTCTCCTACCAGGGGTGTTGTTTACGAAATTGAGAGGACAAAAAGCGAATGTACGGCGCTTTAACCGGTTTAGTAGACACGAAGAATCTACCTAGGGGAGTTGAAAAACCCTACTTTTAAACCAATGGTGCACATGGGCTCTAGTATACTGAAGGAACAAATGGCGTATGAACCAATCATTGGTCACCGGCTTCCATGGGACTGCATCTCCTTACGTTGCTCCACTGCCTTGTGGATCAGACCTTTAGGTCGAAGGCTCGGGTGTGGCTCCCTAAGAAAACCACCTGCTTCGATCTAGGCACCCTGACAGTATCACAGCCCTCACACAAATCAAGCGACTAGTGTGGTGCATATGTATTTGCTACCCCTTTGTACCACTATTTATGTATTCAAATAAATAAATAAATATAAATAGGTATTAGTAGTAATCTTTGTTATTTTAATTCTTTCTGTCATCAATGTCAATTATTCCACATTGTCATGCCTCAATGTTACACATTCATATACATCAATTGTTGTAGGCAACTGATAAGAAACCATGAAATAAAGTGAATTCATATTATTTTATCTCAATTAGTGTTTTGACTTCACTCGAACAGAAGTTAATCAAACAGGATTATATTTTTAGTAAGTTGACATTTTTAAGGAGTATATACTTTGAATAATTTAAGAACAGAATTCAATAGTTCGTCAGCTGAAGTGAATTGGTAGCAAATGTTTACTGGAGACTACGTAGCTGTAGCGTGAATAAGGTAAGCGATGTTGAGAGTGAGTGTGCAGCAGTAACTCAATAACGATATCAGTTGGATTTATAAATACAAGCTGAATGGAAATGTAAACCCTTAAATCCAAACTCAATTGTTTAGAGATACTATATCCACCCTGTGAAATGTATAGATTGCAGTCAAAGCGCAATTTACGACTTAATTTTTTAATCACTGTGAATCGCAGGTCCGAAGCTCGGTTTCTTATTTCAGCCCAAAGAAGAACAAATCATTAAACGTTACAAATTGATACTTCGTTACAGAAAAGACAGATGATGACAGACTCAGACGATGACTTCATAATTAAAGCATTCAAACATTTGGTTAAATATTAAAATTTCGTTTAACCTAACTTGGTTTCACTTTTTTATGATTAGAATTACGACTATTTATATATAATAGGCTTTAAGACATACATTCAGTATGTAACGGTTAGTGATGCTGGTACTTGACTGCCGAAAATCAAACTGTTTAATGCCGTTTAAAACTGACGTTTAGTACTTTAAAAGTCAAATGTTTTATAATGAGAGAGAGATTTTGTGGATATTATAGTAATTTATTCGTTGAATTCATGAGTTCTAGTGAGAAGTTGTGACTAGTGGAGTTCAACTGGGTCAGTTGTGAGATAGTAACTCACTGATGACAATGGTGGACAGTCAGTCAGTCACTCAGTAACAACATAGAACTTTATACATACGTAAGTATGTACATCAGTTCAAGTTGCCGTACTACATAAGCATAAAGATGCAGTTGTCGATTCAAATCCCATAGTGATAGAGGTAGTAAAAGTATAAGCAGTAATCGGAAACATTTAGCTTTGAAGATATTATTCAAGGAGTATAATCCAGTAAAAAAATTTCGAAAGAGAAAAAAAGGGAACATGAAGAATTCAGAAGATTAAAATTTGAGAGAACACAAAGACTGGATGCACCTGAGCCATCGCAAACGATTTTGAGCCACGTGTCATTCAACGTCTCTAACCATCGATTGCTATCATCTCGCGGATCCCAATCAGGTAGTTTACACCTACCAATATGGCTCAGTCCGCTTGTCAGTGACTTAATGGATTTGTGCCACGTTTTGGTTTGGCCACCCCTAGCTCTCTTCCAACCTACTCCTACACCATAAAACACCACACGTCGAGGCAGTCGGTGGTTAGTCATACGTAACACATGTGTTATGTCCCGACAAGAATAATGAATGGTAATGTTTGGATCCATTTGTGGACCAATACTATACGTATATTTTTATCGAAAAATTGTTATGTAATTAAACTATTCATATTCATATCTCTTTTATCATAAGCTGTATTCTAACCTATGAACTGTTATTGTACGATTTTCCATTCTTGAATTATTCCCTGTCTATTAGTCACTCCATCCTTCATTCACAGCCACATCTGGCTAATTCTTGTACAAATGTTGTTTCGTATTTTATTGTTACGTTGTGGTTTGTTTGATTGGTATATACACTCAGTATGTTTGAAATATAATGATTCATATCGCAGAGGCTTGGGTTGGTGTTCTGGACTTGACTGGCTGGGCTAGGCAGGAAGCAGTACCAACCAGGACTCTAGACGGCTAATATGGGTTTACGCATCATTGGTCCGATCGATAAGTCACTGCTCTCTAATCGGCGGTCACAAGTCATGACATGTTCAAGCCGTCACAACTGATGAAGCTTCACTACTTCATCAATCGATACGCCAACCTTACCTAGTAACCGTTTCCTAACAGCTGCATTACTTACTCCGTGATACCAGGATATACAAGCAACGCTTCGAAGACACCTAAGATCGAATACTAGTAACCTACGAATATCCTCTACTCTTGCCGGCCACGTTTCACTGCCATAAAGTAGGACGGAACGAACTGCTGAGCAGTAAACTCTTCCTTTGGTTGATAGACGGATATCTCGCCTACGCCATAAATGACGCAAGTTGTTGAAAGCTAATCGAGCCTTCTGTATCCGTGTTGCGATTTCGTCACACACTAGACCACAAGGGCTGATGAGACTTCCAACATAAGTAAAGCGGTCGACACGCTCCACTACTTCACTCCCTATCATTAGTTCGGGTGTCGATGCAACCCAATCCTGAAGCAACATTTTACATTTCGAGCGGGAGAATCGTATCCCAAACATGCTTGCATTGTTGCTTAGCGTGGTCAGAAGAGTCTGCATTTTGTCAGCGTCTTCACCAAATAAACAAGTGAATTTCCTGGATGGTGGCACAACTTCGTGAATTAATTGAAGTTAAACATTAACACTGTTGGATGCCACTCTAACTCAATGATCTAGAGGTTAAGCGTTTGCGCTTGAAACTGATAGATCTTGGATTCATTATCTCGTGAACCGGGATCATAAATGCACACTAATAAATATTCTTATACTAAGTTTGAAATATTCGTCCAATACTTCCAGATTTTTCATGATCTAGCTTCAATTAAGTATTTCAATTACTAGGTTATCTATCAGTCATATAAACAAAACAAATAACTATTATAGAGAAATACTCACTTCACCCGGTTTATGACATATCCAACAATAATCATCTGATTCCATAATTCTACTATTATTATTATTATTATTATTATTATTATTGATATTGTTATGTAATGGACTAGTTTCATGCGAAGAGATAGATTCATTTAATTGTATATAATCATTCCGTATACTTTCATTATTCGATAATTGAGGGATGTGTTTTATGGTAGGATTATTATTATTATTTATTATTATTGTTAATTCAGAAGGATGATCATTCATAATTATTGATTCCTTCTTCTTTTTCTTATTCTTTATATTATTATTCTTATTTTTATTATTATCCTTTGTAGACCATGTTATATCATCAACAGTATCTAAGTCTATATATTCATCAGATTCACTATCTGATAGACATTGTGTAAATATTTTTGATGAATTATTCCGAACTCGAATAGAATCAATATTACCGTCATGATGTATTATATTATTATTATTATTATTATTATTATTAGTAGTAGTAGTAGTAGTAGTAGATGACGTAATATTTAAAAGTGAAGAAGATTCTTTTGGTGACATTATCCGATGAATAGTACTACTATCAGTAATATTAGTAGTATTATCATCAGATAATGAATTATATGATTGTAAAGGATTTGATTGTGATGATAAGTGTTGTAATTGTGATGATAAAGAAGTATAAGAACAAATATCAGAATTGAAATCAATATGAATTGATTGTTTTGATAAGTCATTATTAATGACTGTTATTAATTGAGTTGAATTGTTAGTGTGATCCAATTCTACTGTATTGTTATCACTGGTGTTACCTAAAAGAAAAGAAAATAGATAATTCTTTGGAAAAACAAAATTAAAAATGCAAATATCATTACTTTATGAGATTACAATTATATTAAAGATAATTATTTAATCTAACAGTTGAGATTATGAGTTAATTGAAGCCAAACCACCATGGAAAACCTGGAAGCACTGGACGGTTGTTTCGTCCTAGTATGGGACTCCTCAGCAGTATGCATCCACGATCCCGCCTCGTGAAATCCGAACCCAGGACCTATCGATCTCGTGTGCGGACGCTCAACCACTACATAACTGAGCTAGCCGGTATCCAATGGTGTCAATGTACAACTTCAACCAATCAACGAAATTGAGCGACACATCCACCATTGTCATCAGTGAGTTACCATCTCACATCAGACCCGGTTGAAACTCCACTGGTCACTGCTTCTCACTAAAACTTCAGGAAATACCTCTTGAAACCAGTCACTAGTGGGCATACGATGATTGTTATCAGAAGCAGTTTTGTGGAGATTTTAACCATTTTATAACTAAATTCATGAATCAATTGAAGATGGACCAATATGAAAAACCTAGAATCACTGAACGACCGTTCCGTCCTAGTACACAACTCATCAGAAGTGTGCATCCATGATCACGCCTCGTGAAATTCGAACCCAGGACCTATCGATCTCGCGTGCGAACGCTTAACCTCTAGACCATTCAGCTAGCCAGCATCCAATGGTCTTAATATGCAACTACAACCAATCAACGAAATCGCACCATCGGCCTGGGTTCGGATCCCATGAGGCGGGATCATGGATGCGAATTGCCGAGGATTTCCATATTAGAATGAAACAACCGTCCAATGCTTCCAAGTTTTCCATAGTGATCTAGCTTCAACTAACTTGTGAATTCAACGATTACCTTATTGAATTAACAACAATTTTTTAAATCTTTTCTCTTTATATTTGATTGAATAAAAAAGCATAGCAAACTAGTTTTAACATTTTAACCTTAAAATAATCATAAACGACGAGTATGTAAATGAACCATAATGAACCTTAGTGATAAATATTAAATCTATCGATCCTGATAATCTTCTATCCTCTTTATTACAATAGACAATTAGAAAACGAGGACAATAAATCTCTTTTATTGGTATAATTCCATCATCTTATAAAATCTTATGAATTACTGCGTGAAAATGATACATTATAGTTAGAAAACCATAATTTGTATAGAAATCTGTCACTTACAATATATAACTGAATGACAAATGTATAATTCACTAACAATTAGGTTAATACAAGTTAATACATAATTAAAGTATATAGATATAATGAATCACAGTAGAACAGCTTTTTAAAACATGCCAAGGCTTAGAGTGTGAGCCCCCTAAGAAAACCATCTGCTTCGATTTGGGTATCTCAGTGTAGTGAACAAGAACACGGGTGAGGACAATCGATTGTATTTAGCATAAAAATTACAGACTATCTCAATGTAATGTGAATACAATAAAGTCAATCGTCAATTTGCAAAATATCATCCCATCATATCAAATTGTACTGTTCCCGTTGCAAACACTAATCCATTGTCTCCCATTCCATTGTACATGCGTTGTCTTACAATTCCATTGTGCTCTTGCTCTTCCTTTCTTGATCTTCGCCATCTTCTGCTGCCGGACATTACGTTCTTTTAACGCACGTTATATACTACTTATATCAATATAAGTAGCTCACACCACATCAGCAGTATTCCAGCCCTCACACAAATCAAATGACTTATGTGGTGCATATCTATTTGGTGACTTCTGGTACCAATGTTAACGTGCTTAAATAAACAAATAATAATAATTCCACCTTTCCTAATTATTTGGACTATATTTAGCACAAGCATTCTAAATGGTGATTTACTGAGAGTTGGACTAAATAGTACCTATTTATTTATTTATTTGAACACATAAATATTGGTAAAAAGGGGTACCAAATACATATGCACCACACTAGTCACTTGATTTGTGTGAGGGCTGTGATACTGCTCGGGTTCCTAAACCAATGCAGGTGGTTTTCTTAGAGGGTCACATCCAGAGCCTTCCACCTAAAGGTCTGACCCACAAGGCAGTGGAGCATCGTAAGGAGATGCAGTCCGATGGTAGCCGGTGACCAATGATTGCTTCATACGCCATTTGTTCCTTCAAGATCCTAGAGCCCATGTGACCATTGGTTTAGAATCCGGTTAAAGCGCCGGACATTCGCTTTTCGTCCTCTCAATTTCGTAAACAACACCCTTGGTAGGAGAAGGCAGTGAGTAGGACTTCCCTCTCAGAGGCTATACATGGGTAGCTATGTGAGAGCATTTCGAGAGGGAGAGCTGACTCTCCCCACTCTCGGCCGTACCGTCGAAGCGAGTACCGTCCAGGAACTATATAAGCTAACTAGAGAAATTCGATCATCATTGCATGGGTTGCTGAGCATAAAGCTCATGATTAATAAAGTTATTAATAACCATTTTCCTATCTCAGAATGCTCTCAAATGGCCACGTGCACACTCCCACTGTCAGGGAAGTCCTACCCACTACCTCCTCGCCACATTACTGTTGTTTAAGAAATTCAGCGAATGTCCGGAGCTCTAACCGGGTTGGTGGGTATGGAGGATCCACCTAGGGGAATTGGAAAACCATCATTCCAAACCTACGATGCACATGGGCTCCAGTATCCTGAGGGAACAAATGACGTATGAACCAATCGTTGGTCACCGGCTACCATGGGATTGAATCTTCTCACGTTGCTCCAGTGCCCTATGGGTTAGATGTTTAGGTCGAAGGCTCCGAGTGTGACTCCCTAAGAAAACCACTGGCTTCGATTTGGGTACCTGGACAGTATCCCAACCCTCATATAAATCGAATGATTTATGTGGAGTATATCTATTTGGTGACTCATTGTACCAATGTTTATGTGTTTAAATAGATAAATAAACTTAGAGTAAGCTTTTTAAAGCCAAACCACAAAACTCCCTAAACTATAAATTTATTACCATGGGGTATCCTATTGCCTCGAGAAAATACCATTAGATATTGAAAATGTTATCGTTCAAAGATGAACCTTCGAACACTGATAGATAGTTTATAATCCTGGCTACGAATAACATTTCACTCCATTACACTAATCAATAAAACTGAAGTTTTAACTTATTCAATAACAAAGTCATACAGTAACAAATAGTCTAATATTTGCATTTTTTTTTAAAAAAAAAGCAACAACAACATTGTTTACTTACCTGATTGTGTATTTGCTAAGGGAGGTGTAATATCAATATTATCAGAAGAAACATTGGATTCAAGATGCATTTCTTGTCGAGCCTAGTGAAATATAAGTATTAATGAAATACTTAAATATATACATTTTTATCTAAATCAAACCAATTTTTAAGGTAAATGTTTTGGATTATAAATGAAATTTTAAAGCTTATCAATTTAACTACTACAGGTTGTGAAATCATAAACTAAACACGGACACAAAGAGTCCATCTAGGCGATTTGGAAAACTCTGATACTAAATCAATGGTGCACATGGGCTCCAGTATTCTGAAGGAACAAAGGGCGTATGAAACAATTGTTGGCCGCCGGCTACTATGAGACTCCACCTCCTTACGTCGCTCCACTGCCTAGTGGATCAGACCTTTAGATCGAAGCCTCCGGGTGTGGTCCCTTAAGAAAACCACCTGCATTGGTTTGGGCACCTGGGTAGTATCATAGCTCACACATAAATCAAGTGGCTTATATGACGCATACGTATTTGGTGCCTCCTTGTACCAATATTTATGTTTTTAAATAAATAAATACAGAAATAAAACTACGCAAATATAAATTCTAGGTATCAGTAAAAAGCGACATTAATAAGTTAATATTATGTGGCAGATGATTTTTTAGTACAACTCTAGAATTGTGTCATTATTGAAATAACCAAACGATAGAGGGTTTTAAAGAACCACATATATATATTATCAGCATTTAATAGAGTTCCTCTGAGTCATTTATGTTATAGAAATCGTAGAAAATCGACATAACCACCATTACTTCGATAGTCCAAAACAAAGTTTTACTTAAGATTGATATATTATAAGCGAACCGAATGAACATCCTAAACAGTAGCCAGCGAAACGAGAGAATTAATTCATGAATGGGCGAATGTATATGTAAGTGAATGAGTAACAGTAATCCGAAATCTAAGCAGTTGAAATGTCAGTAGGTGAGTGGATATTCGTACAAAGACGTTCATATTTAGAAGAGCACATTCAAGAAATTTAATTATACAGAAACACATACAAGTTATCGATAAGATTAAAAATGACACGTCTCTGATAGCCTCATAAGCTAGGCTTAGGTCTAACTAGTTCAAACACGAAACAAGTTTACGTAAGCACAATGCTTTTATAAATGACAACTTTCAAAACAAAGCGGAAGATAAACAGTAAATACATGGAGCATATAGACTGATTTTTAATTAATATTACCCTAATCTTTCATTCGCAACTTAAAGAAGGGTGAAATGAACAGATGTATCTAGCCCAATGGTTGGCAGGAAGATATTTAGGATGCACGGATGCTCATGAAGGCAAACAAACATTAAACGGCTTTTTTCACGTATGTTGAAATTTTATCACCCGCTCAACTCAGAAGATTGAATAACAATACTGATGTTAGTTAGTACAAATACTTCTCACCCTACTGTCAACTTGTAGACATACGTAGATCAATCCGGACAAATACTTACAGAAAGCAAAAAGACATCTTAGACATTCTTATGCTATTGTTACACTGGCATCAAAAGAAAGAATTTTGTCTTTCATAGTTCACCAAGTACTGGACAAAAATTATCGAGCAGTCTTAAACTAAGGAATAAATGGCTCAAAAATGTTATCCAAGTTAATAAACAGTCAGTGGTTCAACCGGTCCGTTGTGAGATAATAACTCAATGATGACAATGGTGGATGTGTCGCTCAGTTTCGTTGATTGGTTGAAGTTGTACATTAACACCATTGGATACCGGCTAGCTCAGTGGTCTAGTGGTTAGGCGTTTGTGTGCGAAATCGATAGGTCTTGGGTTCGGATCTCGCGAGGCGAGATCGTGGATACGCACTGCTGAGGAGTCCCATACTAGGACGAAACAACCGTCCAGTGCTTCCAGGTTTTCCATGGTGGTTTAGCTTCAATTAACTCATGATCTCAACTATTAAAATTAAAAGTGATACTTGGATATTTACCATTTTCATTTGTTTCAATCTAGAAATAGCATACAATATAGAGCGACGTTTCCCCGACGATGGTGGTGATGATACTTCAGCTGAAATTTAGAGTGAAACGAATAATTTTGTTTTCAGTTGGATTGTATGGAGGTGGAAAAAAACAAAAGTTTTTTAGAAAAGTTTATGGGAAGAAATTATGAAGTGAATAATACATTATACAATAGACCATTTAACTCAGTTCTATGCATACTTTCAATTTTGTAACTGGATCGTATAACTTAGTCGCCAATCGATTACATGGAATTATAATTAGTATTCAAGTTGTAATATACGGTTACTTTTTCTTAGGAATTAACGGATGAATGAGTGAATGAACGAATAGAATACTGATGACCAATGAATGATATTATGTAGCCAGCTGATAACTGCTCAATAACATACCAAGTATTAAAATAAACAAGTCAGTTAAAACATAAGAGAATGGAAGATACTGATTTTGTAGGTTGATGAAAGTAAGAACTAGTTGTGCTAATGAGTTATGGTACATATGTGCCTGATCCTACGACGTAGCTGACTGACTGAAGAACTCGTTATTAGGCTTAATTCTTTCATGGTAAATCATATACATTAATATTGTTATCAGTATAGAGTTGTGGAAATTATTGTTTTTGATTGAGATCATGAACCGTGGATTGGTTGAGGTTAGACATTAACATAGTTGGATGCTTGAACAGCGGTCTTGAGGTTAGGCGTTTGCGTGAGAGACCGAAAGACTCAGGTTCGAATCCCGCAGGCGAAATCGTGGATACACACTGCTGAAGAGTCCCACAATAGCACGAAACGGCTGTCAAGTGGTTCCATGTTTTCAATGGTGGTCTAAAATCAATCAGTTCATGATCTCGATCAAAAATACAGTATTATTATTATTATTCAGCAAATACCTCAGTAGCACCTTTTTCAGGAATTTCATTTGAAACACTGAAACAAAAATGAAGACTTTATGGGAAAAAATTTAACAACTGCTTTCAATGTGTACACTTATACAACTAAACAACAGAGCAGGATGAACCAGCAATCTAAATATTAATGGAAGAAAAAGATTATTGAATATGCTCCCAAATGCCCTGGTACAGCTGACAGTGGGAGAGTCACCTCTCCCTCTTGAAATGCTCTCAAGTGGCCACGTGCATACAACCACTACCAGGGAAGTCCTATTCACTACCTCCTCGCAGCATTACTGTTGCTTACGAAATTGAGGACGAAAAACGAATGTCGGGCACCTTAACTGGGTTGGTGGACACGGAGGATCCATCTAAAGGAAGTTGGTAATTGCTGATTCCGAATCAGTGGTGCACACGGGCTCCAGTATCCTAATGGAACAAATGGCGTATGAACCAATCATTGGTCACTGGCTACCATGAAACTGCATCTCCTAACGTTGCTCCACTGCCTTGTGGATCAGACCTTTAAGTCGATGGCTCCGAGTGTGGCCTCCTAAGAAAATTACCTGGTTCGGTCTGGGCACCTGGACAGTATCCCAGTCGACACACAAATCAAGTGACTTCTGTGGAGTATATCTACTTGGTGCCTCCTTGTACGAATGTTTATGTGTTTAAATAAATAAATAAAATTATTGCATATTCATTCACTTAATATATATTCCATGAAAATTACTCACTATCTACTTTAAACCAAAGAATATGATCTGGTGTGCAGTAGAATAATACACTAAGTATGATTTCAAAAAAGAAATAATAATTGTGTTTTATCTACTACTAATCCTTCAAAATACTATGTATTGGTCTGCTGACTATTATTATTATTATTATTATTATTATTATTATTATTATTTGAACATATTGATATTGGTACAATGAGGCGCCAAATACATATGCACCACACAAATCTCATTCGATATGTGTGAGGGCTGTGATACTGCCCGGTTGCCCAAGCCGAAGCAGGTGGTTTTCTTAGAGGGTCACATCCAGAGCCTTCCACCTAAAGGTCTGATCCACAAGGCAGTGGAGCATCGTAAGGAGATGCAGTCACATGGAAACCGGTGACCAATAATTGGTCCATACGCCAGTTGTTCCTTCAGGATACTGGAGCCCATGTGCATCAATGGTTTAAAAACAGGGTTTTCCACTTCCTCAACGTGGATTCTCAGTGTCCACTAACCGGGTTAGAGCGCCGAACATTCGCTTTTCATTCTCTCAATTTCGTAAACAACACCCCTGCCACGATAAAGCAGTGAGTAGGGCTTCCCTCACAGAGGCCATATACACGTGACCATGTGAGAGCATTTCGAGAGAGAGAGAGAGAGAGAGAGAGAGCAGACTCTCCCCACCCTCAACCGTACCAGGGCATTTGGGGGCTGCTGACTAGTGAATAAAAATATGACATCTCATTTTAACTACAATAACGGTGAGACTATAATTTATGGACGACCTTTGAGTAATACTAGAGTGAACTTGAGTGTCCACATAATAACTAAGACTAAATGAAGATTATAACCAATGTGTGAGGAATTAGAATTATGATTTACAGTTGATGGTTAAGGTTAGGAAATAGATTTTAGGTTTTCATCACAAACTGACATCAGTTATAATGCCAAAACTCTATTTAGACAAAAAGATGCATAAATTTCACACCAAAACCCGAGACCTGTTATCTTATATCTGATTGATTCATTCATAAATTGTAGTCTCACCCTTATAATTAATGAACAAACATGAGATCTTCCTCATGCTCCAATCTGTCAATTATGTTTTCATTATTACTTATTTATTTATTTATTTTCCCCTGAAACAAATTGAAAACTATGGTTCAATAAACTTAAGGATCAAGTAAATAAGCTGCCACAGTAGCCCAACTAGTCTATAACATTCTAGTAAACATGATTGATAAGTTTTTTGAACATAAAGAATAAACAGAATAAAAACCTGAAGATAATAAATATTAATCTAGTACTTACGTATTGATGGAAGTGATGACATATGTGAGATATTTAACTTGTTTGTCATGGTTGATTCAGTATTCAGTATATTTTGATTATCCATTAAATGTTGAAATGAAAGATCCATTAACAATCATTCTATTATTTTTTTTAAAAACAGTGATAAGCAAAGAGTTTCTTTTCAATTTACAATTGTCAAACATGTATATTAATTAAGATAGATAACCATCTTGAAATAACTAGCACATTTAAATTAAACAGTCTCAAGTAATGAGAAAAGATTAGTTTAGGGACATGAATGTAAATAAGTGGGTCATTGGTTTGTTTATTTATTATTTACTTAAATAAATATTGGTGCAAGGAGGCACCAAGTAGATATACTCCACACAAGTCACTTGATTTGTGTGTCGACTGGGATACTGTCCAGGTGCCCAGACCGAACCAGGTAATTTTCTTGGGAGGCCACACCCGGAGCCATTGACTTAAAGGTAGTGGAGCAACCTGAGGAGATGCAGTCACATGGTAACCGGTGACCAATGATTGGTTTATACGCCATTTGTTCCTTCAGGATGCTGGAGCCCATGTGCACCACTGGTTTAAAATCAGGGTTTTCCAATTCCACTAATTGGATTCTCCGTGTCCACTAACCCGGTTAGAGCGCCGGGCATTCGCTTTTCGTTCTCTCAATTTCGTAAACAACACCCCCTTGTCGAGAAAGCAATGAGCAGGACTTTCTTGTCAGTGGCTGTATACACGTGACTATCTGGGAGTATGTCGAGAGGGAGTGCTAACTCACCCAACCCTCAACCGTACCAGGGCATTTAGGGACCCAAGACTGAGCGTGAAATCATCAGGACCCTATCCTGTTAACACAGTAATTCTAATTAGCATTCATATAATAAGTGTTTCTCATAATCTAGCATAATAAAATTAAACACTGCCACTTGACATCTGCCATCTGAACTGATTAGACGTGTAGCTGAGTCAATATTACTACTTCAATTATTCTGGCATGTGTTCTGATAGTTTTATCTCGGTGTACTAACATAGTGTGAGAACTTCAACCAATGTACTAGGTCGTATGCTGCTTATGACTGACTTAATTGAAATTATGAGATCAATGATGTTGAAGTGTGGGAATCAAAACTTTCAATAGTATGCAATCCGGATAACATTCGGTTACGATTTTTCACTGACGTAGGAATTAAAATCATGAAGAACTATCAGGAGACAAACAGTATGAAAACTGTAGCAAAAATCTTAGTCTTTATATTTGATTAAAATTATACAGTGTAAAACGGTAATAAAGTCTAACATAATGGAAGCATTGATTTTGTAAGGGTATAAAATATATAGTTATGAGCCAGATACCCAGGCTCCATAAAACTGACTCGATATATTACGAAAAAAAAATGAAGAGTAGTGAATTTCCCAGACGAACAAATCTCAAGGCTATCAAAAACCTAATTAATAATGTAGTCCATCTTCCAGAATCAGGTAGTAGATTTTAACGCTGTTTTGTCTATTTTAGTTTAGGTACCCTAAGAGTATCAATGGACCACGCCAAATTATGAAATACAGAGCTGGGAACAGAAAATCTTAGCATGATTGCTGTATTAAATTTACAATATACTAAAAGACCGAGCAGTCACTAAATATGTACAGGAACTGAGACGATCGTTTCAAAGTACCTAGCATACTTAAATTGAACAATCTCGATTAGTGAAGTTTTACTTAGGGACCTAGTTAACAACCTGTGGGACATTAGTATACGCTGTGCTTATCCAGTCAAGTTTTAGGCAGTTAAGTATCAGTAACAACATTCATACAATATGTGCTTTTTATAGTCGGACACAAATATATAGTTACTGAGAGGCACTATTTACTCATTTACGGTTATTAAATTACTACCATGCAAATGCTTAGAAACCACTGAAAATGAGCTGAGTTTATTCTTACTGGAAACGCTCATTTGGCAGTGTCAGTGAAGCCTATACGAGAAATTATACCTAACATGAGACTTCGTTTTGAACCAAACTAACATTTAATATGTCCGTTGTGATTTCTCAAGACAAACATTGATGGCTGGATAGATTCATAGTGAATAAATACTTAAGTACCACTGAATTTAACGGACAAGAATCGGTGTTTTCAACGTGTTATGGTCGCCGACCGTTGCTGATACCTTGACGTGGTAGTCTGGCTTGTCTATCGCAATGAAGCAATCGAGCTATACTATCTAAAACATTCGTTCCTCAATGTCCTACCATGCCTGACAGGTCGGTCGAATGACGGTAAGACAAAAAGCAGCAAACCCAAGGTCTGAGGGCAAAGCCGTACTGCTGACTGTCAGTAAGGTGTTTCCTTCAGCCAGCCAGCATAACAGCGATGCTGCCTTCCCACAAAGAGTGGTGGGGTTAGAAAGGGTCGACCTCATGAGTTTCGGTCTCCAGCGGTAAGGTCTCAACAAGTACGAAGCTAAAATAAAATTAACCACAAAAAAGTACTCAGGATCACTGTATTCTTAAACAATTTCCTCCCACAATGTCTATTATTCCCGCTACTTCAACTATCAACTCAAGTGTCACCATAGCCAAAGATTTTAATGCGCAAAATACTGTCCCAGGTCTACTGAAACCTCGCACCAAACTACACATTGGAGCCTCCAACGTACGCACCCTATGTCAAATCGGTCAGTAGGCTTTCCTGGCTAAAAACCTAGAATCTCGTATCATTGATGTATGTTGTGTCTCCGAAACATGTATACAGGATCCCAGTGTGGTCATTCACTTGACCTCACCTCGGCAAAACGGAGAGCCAACGAAATACACCCTCCGTGTATCTGGTGACCCGACGGCCAGTTTTCGTGAACTGGCAGATGTGGACATAGCACTAAGCATGAGGGCGGAACAAGCACTGTTAAAGTGGATCCCCGTCAACAGTTGTTTATGTGCTGTTCGGCTAAACGGCTCCATAAGAACTCGGAAGGATAGGGGCATACATCGTTGCCTTTTCGTCGTTTTTGCATACGCTCCCACTGACTGCAGTCTGGATGAAGTGAAAGATGAATTTTACAGAAAGCTGTCTGAACTTCTTCAGAAAGCTAAACGCTCAGACATAGTACTCGTAGCAGGTGATTTTAATGCTCAGATAGGTAGTTTAAACCAAACAGAAAGGCATTTAGGTGGGTATTTTAGTATTCGACACAGCGAACAGATAATGGTGATCGTCTGCAGCAACTGTGCTCAGACAATCGTTTATTTTTAGCAAACACTAATTTTAAGAATAAGGAGAGACATCGACTAACATGAAGACGCCCTGCACCAAAACAACAATGGGTTCAGATAGACCATATTGCCATTAGTCAACGTTGGAGAGGCTCGGTAGAAGACTGCCGCTCGCCCTGGAGTATATGTTTGGACGCTGACCGTTGTTATATAAGAAACATGATGTTATATGTCTTAAAAAATCAGTAATACAAATGTGGAGTTGTGAATGAGATAAAACAGCTTAATATAAACGAACATAAGATAGTCGAATCCTAATACAAACGGAAACACTTTCACAAACATCTCTACACAGAGATACACTTGAGAAAAGGTACGAAGTCGAACATAACAAAGCACTGGATTTTCAAATTTTTTCAACCGACATTAACTGAAACTTCACAAACAACCAATAAAGGGGATATTCTGCTAAAAAAAATAAGAGGATACGCAGCATGAAGTCTCTTTATTTGCCTTTCATGGGGAAATAATGCGATATTTCACTCGTTTGGCGCTCCACGTTTGAGATGTCGATAAATCGTCAACTTTTCATCTAAATAGGATATCTACCTTTCGGAATTCCATTTCAAGACACGACTGCTACCTGAGTCAATAGCCATAAATACTGTACACGTAATTTCACGTAATCATGTTTTAAAATCGCACGTTAACACAGGAAAGTGATTCATGTAGGATACAAGATAATATTAAGCTTTTAACCAACACTCAATAACTAACATCAAACAATTTTGACGTCCAGCCCACTAAATATACCATCTGAATATCTAAAACCCCAACTCCATCGACTATATTAGGTGTTCTCTTAGTCACATATGACTATAATTATAGTCCACTTAAGTTTACTCGCATAGTTGTATACTGTGGACACATTTCAGATCACATGAAAAATAGAGAAGCATTCAAACTTGGTCGTATACTAATGGCGGTTAATTATATGATCAATATTTTATTATATTATGATTCTATTACTACCACACACGACGCCTGACACTTTACACCAACATTCTAAGCTAAGGCATGATCAGAATTGCGTTAAACTGACTGTAAATTAGATCATAACCTGGCAATATATCATTCAATTGTTAGTGACCTGAAATTCAACGTGAGATGTACCCCTAACTCACAGTTAAATGCAAAGGGATCACCAATGAGCGTGAATTTGAAGATGTCAAACCAAATATAACCTTGATGACCTACAAAAATAAACAAAGAAGTTATTTAAAAGGTAGGATGTTTTTAATAATGAGCATATGACTTACTTGATATTTAAGATTTCGATTTTGTGTTTTAACACCCTAATCAAACGGGTTAACGTGTTGTGCTCACAAGTGAACGTAAATTCTACCTCTATACATCCCTTCACGTAGCAACTTCTCGACGATCTGGTTCGGTAGAACTTGCATCCTGATATTCGGGAACGGCTACAGACTCTTAGAATTTTCACTGATGCATATCTGACTAGTCTGCCTTCTTGGGATCTGATATGGATTTTAAGACCGCATTTTGTGTTGAACCACTAGTAGTGAACTACAATTTGTAGCCAACCATTTATTTTTACCCACTTTTCCGCTCATCCATGTATAACCACTAACAAGCGCAATATTTGCTGTACTGACAGTAAACAATTTATATGCACCAAATTTATTCTTACTGATGTTTTTCTCACCGAATTGAATTGTTCATTTTCATTATTTATCTGTGCCTGCTAGTGTTTATGTGCATGAGTGCAAATAAATTTGCACGATAAATAGCCCCGTAAGCCTACAGCATTGATGCTGACCTCACAGGTTTAACTAAACACAGTCCAGCGTAAGACGCGTGGTCAAGCATCTAGATCAAGTCGCCATTGCGTACCTTGTGCTACACATCCCTATCAACAAACAGCAAGCACAGATCAAACACATATAAATATACGGCATACCTTCTCAATATATCTTTGAACTCCTTCAATCCTAACTTTTAGTTTACCTGGTCTTGAAATCCACAATCATGAAGGTTTGGCAAATGCGTGATCAATCCCTCTATACCAGTGACATCTCTGGGTTTTAAATATGAACATTTTTCCCCATCCATTTCATCTGTTGTGTAATGGCAAGCTACCACAACCACCTCGAGAGCCTCAAATCCCTGTACAGTGAAAGGGAAACATAGGTTCAACAGTTGAAGAGCTATTGTAACTTATAATGATGATAATTTATTCCCAAATGACAGTAACTCACACCGGGTATGCCAGTGTACAGGGAAAGTTTAAATGTTACAAGTGCTTCAGGACTTATTGTAAAGAGTTAATTATTCTGCTAGATATCTCACGAGTCACTACCATAAATACAGGAGCAAAAGCTAGTGAACATAAGCTTACTTGTTTATTTAAACTTAAATATTAGTTTAAAGAGACGCCAAACACACATGTAGCACACTTCACTCGATTTATGTGACGGCTCTGATACTGCCTGTGCGCCCAAACCAAATCAGTGGTTTACTTGAGGAGCCACACTCTGAGCCTTTGACCTGAAGGTCGAATCCACAAGGCAGTGGAGCAACGTTAGGAGATGCAGTTCAATTGTAGCCGGTAACTAACATCATGTTCATATGCCATTTGTTCCCCCAGTATACTGGAGTCCGTGTCCACCATTGGTTTAAAATCAGGGTTTTCCAACTCCTCCACGTGAACATTCGTCTTACGTCCTCTCGATTTCGTAAAATGCACCTCTATCATGAGTGCTCATTTAGTAGGACTTGCTTGACATTCGTTGTTATATCAAGTCACTACCACAACCCTTAAGTCGCTTTTAGGTTAGCCAAATCGTCATATATGGATGAGTCTTAAAACATGGATTGATAATACCTCTCCAAGCTACGCCCAACAATTTCTAGATGCCCAAGATCCAGATACCACATATCCACACTCAGCATGTGTTGCAAATAAAATAGTGCGGAGAACTCCCGCTAAAGATTCGCGGACGATACATCAGACATGTCCAACCCACAATACAAAAGCTTTATCCATCTGATTTGATTGTAACATGAGACTAGCAGCGACAGTGTCTTCCAACAAGAAGCTTGGATTAAAGCAGTATTCATACACCCCACAAACGTAACGGGGCCTAACATCACAAAAGTAGGGAGGTAATTTTTCTAACCAGCAAACATGAAGTTTAAATGGATAACTTTAATCCACCCATGTCTGTAGGGCAGAATAGTTTGTTAAAATTTGGCTCCTTATGGTCAAGTATGATGTCACGAACCAATGGTATTGGTGCCAATTTTCATGCAAAATACCACTTTAAATAGTGTTTATGACGTTGAATTGATTTCACTTACTACAGGGTAATCCTATACAAGAGAAACTGGACAATTCGCTAAAAGCGAAGCCTGCTCATGACCTTATAAAAACTATACAAATAAAAAAAAGCTTCAAAAGAGCTTCGAAAAAAGGGAGATAGCCATTTGTGTATCAGGATACTGTTTTCATTAATTGATTTTCAAACCACATATAATCCTATACTTTCAGCTTCTTTTTGAACCACCTCTATATATACAGTTCTTCGCCCATTCACTTCATGCAGAAGAATATCAGGTTGCCATTTCGATAAGCTTTCAACTCTACTTGTATTTGTAGAATTATGATCTATCTCAATACTAGTACTGCTATAATAGCAGATCTAATCCTAAAGTTGTAGCATTGTCGTGATGTAAAATCCTAATCTATAAGATCTTACGAGGAATTCACATCACTGTCTGTTCTGACTTGACGTATCGAAACGATTGAAAATATGATGCCTGGCGTTCATAAAGAACACATTTAGGCTCGGGGTGGAATAATATATATTAAAAGAGCTAAGTTCGCGGTAGCGAATTTAAAACCGGCAACGTTTAGAACTGACGTTCTAGGAAGATGTGAATCCCTTGTGAATGGAAAGAAACCCCACTTAACGCTTGAAGACGCTCCCAGTTCTAAACCCAACCAATGCAAACCCTCAGTCTTCCCAAAATGAACGAAAATTAACTCATCATCAGAATTGACGAGGCGTTTGCATTTGAAAATTTCAGGAGACCAACAATCAACAAATTTAAAAATCGACCAAGCCTAATTTGACTACATGTCTCAGTTCGGTACTGTTCGTCCTACTGGTTACCAATGAGCATTGTTTCAACAACTGTTCCCAAAGAAAACTCATGGTGACTGTCTACCGTGTGAGGATCACAGAGCTTTTAACCATCAGACTGTGCCTGATAGCTATCCAATGCCTCTTAGCCAATACTTCATAAACTCCATACGGGTCACGGCCATACGCATCGTAACGTATCTTGGCATTGAGATGCCATTAGCTTAAACATGCCCGCCCCGCTCGGGTTGAAGGACGCCAAACAAACGAGTTAAAGTTTGATGTACAGTGTGCTTAGAGATACGTCTTTCGCACGACGATATATCGACTACATGTTGATCGCCAATATTTAGTTCAAATCACATGAACAAAGTATGAAAGTCATGTTAAAACGGCTGGATGAAAATGTAATGAGCATACATCAAAGTCTGTCTCCGAAGTTAAAACATCGTACCTTCTTAGACACATATTGAGTACTAGGAGAGAAAACACCAAGTGAAAAATATGTGGGCACCATTAAACAACATCACATACCAATTTGTTCAGCACAACTTGGACGTTTTCTAGTTATGATCAACTCTTATTGTCAATTCTTGCTCGGTTGTTCACAATTAGTCCAATAGTCGATAGAAACTTCCAGAGGGAAACCATAAAATTCAAGCTGACATTTTAGTATACTGAAGCAACTAGAGAACTATATGATTAACTAACCAAAGCACCTATAATGGTTCAACCAAAAACCGATTATCCACTCTCCCTAATGGTGAAAGCTTCGGACAAGATATTACATGCTCTTAATCAAATGGTGAAAAACTTCTGGCAACCGATCAACTTATTTTCAAGAAGACTCGTTTTTACAAAGATGAGATACCTTGTTTTCCGATGAAGACAAATCTTTATATACCTAGCCATTAAGAATTTCTGGGACACTGAAATAAAGAGGATTGTAGGTTAACATAAATCATGAACCACTGATTAATACATTGAAAGCTGAGACAGATAAATGCTCGTCTCGAAAAATCCAACACCCCTATTCACCGTATCTCAGATAACCAGTGATATACGCCACGCAAACGTTTAGGAAAATCCATTATGTTAATAAGAAATGAACATAACTAATTATCGACTACAAGTTTTGGAGATTTATGAGACAATGTTTATTTAATAACCTCTATCCTTTGTCTCATCCTTGTACGAGAGGTACTATCAAACTTATTATCGACATGTGTATATTACTAGATTCAAAAAGTGATGCATACGATTGGATTAGAAGGTGCCTGGATTGCCAACAGATAAGATATCAATGTTATGCGGATTCACATATAAAAGCGTTCTCATAGCGTGATTCACATCTAGCACACAATAATTTAGATTTGATAATCCCTCTTGATTTTGTTAAGTGCGTACAGAGATTAACAAGTATTCCAGTAGTCATACCAGCAGTCAATACCGAGTATGAAGCAGTGGCCAAAGCTTTTATTCAGACCTGGGTGATCAATTTTGGTCAGCCCATTGCAATAAAGAATGGTTGAAGAACTCATTTGGAATGTAAGCTGTTTGAAAACAAGTCAGAACCTCTAGATTCCAACAAAATACATTGCATAGTACACCACTCTCAAGCAAATAGGAAAGCAGGACGTTTCTACCGTCAATTAAAAGCTACCCAAACGTCTCATCTAGAACCACCCAGTGGATAAAATCCCAGCCATTGGTCATACTGAAAAATAAGTTAGACGTGAAAACTGATTCACAGCATTTAACAGCAGAACTAGTTTTCGGGATAGCATTAAGACTATAGGGTTTGTTGATCGGGAAGCAAGTAGTTTGACCTAGTAAGTTACGTGGACAAACAATGAGATCAGATGTACAGGCTTAGAGCGAATCACGCCGGAAAAACTTCGCTAGCTTAACATAAACCTAAAGATCAAAACACTTCTACTCAGGTCTGGATACGGAGGGATTGGGTAAATCTACCACTCAGCCCTCAATTTGAAGACCCAACCAATGTTGTTACAAAAAAACGAATAATCTGTTATACAAACATTGAACCTCAGATATCAGGAGTACTGATAGAC